AGCACCTATAACAACTGGTTAAAAAAAAAAGAAAAAAAAAAAGAGTTATTTTAATATTTAATTTCCTGATAGGATCAATAATGCATTTCTGAATCGTTTTCGAATTAAATACTTGCATTTAATAGATATTAATAAGATCATCATACAGTCTAAATGCTTACTGTTCTCTGCTGATTGACCAGCAGGAACACCATAGCGCTTATATTATGTTTAGGTAGGATGTTTTACTAAAATTAAGGTTTCAATTTTTTGGTTATTTCTAATTAATATCTATAATGAAAACGTGGAATTATATTTTACAGTGCATGGTTGTATTTCCGAACAGGTTGCTTTTCATTTTTGACCGAAAAGCCAGAGAGCAGAGGGGTGGTAATGCGCGTCCAATTCTTCCTGCCGATCGATCAGACTGCGGATAGATCGATATGGCACCAGGGCTATTGATCACCATGGTCCTCTATATTGCTGGGGCGCTTTCAAATGCAAATGCACCTAAATAGTAATCTATGGCAACACACTAATTCCTTAACAAACTGCAGCCAAACGCTTTACAAACACAGCGATTCAATGTGCAACTGATTCCTCTTTTTTTCTTTCTCATTCCTTTCATTCAACATGTAAGGTCTTTTATATCTGGCCGCAGAGGCTGGCTGTGAAACAAACTGTTTAACAGTAGGCTGCCGTTTAAAGATTTAACAGGACAAACACGGTGCATTCAAAATGCGGAGTGACATTGATTTGGCCTGTGGGCTATTGAAACTTTGGAGAAAATCTTAGGCAAGTTAAAGGTCTGAGCGAATATTGAAAGAAAAATATATATACTACACGGTAAAGAACGTCTTAGAATAAAAAAAGGGTTCCTACATATGCTGAATAAACTGTGGAGGCTGCACTTCAGGGTGAGGTGTTGCACATCCAGTCAGCCTCCGCTTATTTAGGGCAAAGCCACGGGTAAACATGCAGATGCTTTGAGTTTTATCTCCAGAAGGGCCACACTAGTGTGGGGATTGGGGAAGAGAGCGTCCCGCTGACTTGCTCAGAGGCCTGATCAATGCGACATTACTAAACACCGCTACTTAACTTTTGCCAATAGCCAGATTCAAGTAAATATACTTTAGAATACATTAGGCGTGATGCATCAGCCGTGGAGTCATTCAAGAAGTCATGAAAAGATTAGTCTGTCTCTATCGAGTGATTCCTGGGAAAATAGACAAGCTTAGCGGGGGAAAAGCTCATCCAACGGAGGACACACTTGCCCAGATACAGTGGAGATATGAATTTATTGAACTTTTACTTTTCTTTAATGAAAGTTTTAAAGAAAATGAAATTTAAAAAAAAAGAAAATTAAGGTGCAACGTCTGCTCTTCAATCCCAGGACTTCCACAGACAGGGTTTATCAGATTCAAAGAGTCCTTTGAAAAAGTATTGAAAACATATTTTTGTCAGGTTTTAGCTTAAAAAAAGACAATTACACTGCAACAACGATCTAGAAATAAGTGAAAATGTCTTAAATTAAGTAAATTTGAGCAGGTAAATAAGATCGTTTGCCAATGGAAATTGTATTTTTATTCTTAGAATAAGATAATTAGATAATTTGTACTGTTTTCTTATTTTTAATGTAAATTATCTCATTTCATTGGTAAAGTGTCACCTCAATTCAAGAAAAAATGCACTTATTAAAAAAAAAAAGGACTTATATAGATTTACATTTTTTGCAGTGCAATCCTAACCGTCTTTTATTAGCATTATAAAACAATAGAAAAAGCTGGGTTTGTTTTCTGAAATCTGAAAATAACAGACATGGATAAAATTAAATGAAAAACAATTACCATTAAAAAATAAAAAGCACATTGCACTGTTTACACGGGATATATTAAGATACTTTATATAATTCTATACGATGTGTGCGCAAAACAATTTTAGATAGTATTTTGTCTCGACATGACATCTCTTCAACACATTATTTATTGCTACCAAAAATAAATGACTTTCACCTTAATGTCATGAGGTAAAACGAGTTCTAAAAATGCTGTGCGAATTAAGATAAAATACAGACATGGAAAACATTTTTGCGCATTTGGGTATTTTTGTCACCATCAAGCCATCAGAAAATCCTCGAGCTGTGCTATTGGTCCATCATTGATTACTACATCGACATCATTTTTTTTTTTTTTAAGCGAAATGGGATTTTGGAAGTCATCAAAAGATACAGCCACTAATCGCTACTGCTGGAAAATATACCACAACTTTAGAAAATAGAACCTGGAGTGATAAACATGTGCGTTAAAGCGCGCCCACAGCCTACTGCACAATCACTGCAGAGTCGATGCCAAAATGGTGCTCGGCTGCATTTATTAATATAAAATCACCATTCTGTGCAGCATCGCCCCAGTCACAATGGCGATATTGACAAAGTTAATATTTTATATTGTATTTGCCATAGGATATTCTCTTTTTGTTCTGAGAGCAGTGCATTAAAATACAAATCAAAACTAAGCTTTAGGCGGATGCGCATAGTTTAAGAAGTAAAATATGTGTGTGTGTGTATGTGTGTTGGGGTTATTTTACATTTAAATTTAATTTTGACTGGAATAGATTCGATCCAGAACGTAGATAGAATCAACAGTGATTGATTTAAAATTGACACAGGATCCTGATCGGTTCCCTATAACCTTTTGACCCCGAGCATGCATTGTTTCAATCTCTGGGAAATAACTCCACGCATTGGATTATATCAGGCTGCATACGGCGCAGAAAGTGTTGGTGCTTTAGGTGAAAGTTTAAAACTTTTCTTTACGTCGTTTTGGGGATTCTGGTTACCGATGAATTAGGAGCAAAAGAAGCGGCAGTGAAAGTTAACATCCATCAACACCGCGGCCAATTCGCTGCTGTGGCCGACTGAGCGTGCACAGATGACGGATTCGCTGCTGCGCGGGTTTCGGTAATTCATTTTCGATAGCCATGCTTACTAGGATCAATAGGCAGACATTAACCCAGGCGGACACTGCTGTTCTCCTGATGCCACCGAGCCACCTTTTCCCTGGTTGGCAATGTGTAAAGATTATTTTTATTTTCTATTTTTGTTGTGTCATGCACAATAGGAGAGGAACTTCGTGTCAAGGCCAGCGATATAGCAATTATGAAAAAGGTTATGGATGATCTTGACCTAAAATTGATCAGGATTGTTTTATATAATTAGCAGAAGATAAGTGACTCACTTCCTGAATTATTTGGCTACTTCTTCTTAAACCAACTTCAGGTCGAATTCCTAATGATCTGAATTTACAGCAGTAAAACATGCCAAACATGTTTTTCAACAAAGTATTTCAAAGTCAATGTTTGTATGGGGGTATTTAAAAGCTGGGGTGTCAAATCCATAATGTAAGTAGCAATAACCGATTTGATTTAGTTTAGGATTTGAATGCAGGGCCAGCCCAAGGCATCAGCGACCTATTGCTGCTGAGCATGGAGCCTCGAACATCAATGACTTCTCAAGGTTCAATTTTGTAATTCCACTGACCAAAACACTTATTTTAAGATTGATTTGAACCTTTTGAATGAAAGATATAGAAAATAAAATATTATTTTAAATGTAAAGCAGATTTAATAATATATTATGTCTAACTGATATCTGGCTCTTCTTACAAACCTCTGACAGTCTGTAAACACACAGATCCACGCAATGAAAATAAATCACCTTTTTTCTTTCATGTGTGGACAATTTTGTTCATCAGCGTCCTCCTTTTTACCTGAACCAACATAGTTTTGTCATGCCTGGATTTTAGAAAGTCAATTTTTTTTAGCGGTGAGAGTATCACTCTCTGCTTACTTTGGTGTAAAAGTAAAAGTAAATCTGCCAAATCTGACACAGTAAGGGCGTCAAGACCCAATGAACTGTTTGTTTTAATTGCCATGGGAAAATAATAAATATACAGAATAAATTAATTAATAAATCGAGGTTAGACTGCACAAAGTTGATCATTAGAACATTTTAGGCTTAAGGCCTGTGACCCTTCGGTTAGAATAAAACTAATAATAATAAAATAAGTTGTGCTGCTGCCTCGAATTGGAAAAAAACGAAGGCAAAAGTTATAAAGATGATTAAAAAAAGCGCAATATATATTTCTGTTAACATTTTGACCCTTTGATGAAGTTGACACTCTTATCTCCCCTTACAACCTGATCTTAGACGTGCAAGATGCTGTATTGCACCCATATATCCGGGGCTCCTGCCATAGGCACCACACCAACTTATATCGACGCAGCTCCTGATCCATACGCACTCTGACACTGATGGATGACTGAACTGGATTGACATGAGCGAACGGCAGATTTCATGCAATAAGTTTGCAATAAGGGCGGGAGAAGTTTTGTGCGCACAGAGTTTGATTTTCATGGTTTCAGCCAGTCCAAGTTGCATGATATGCAGGAGAGGGGTCAAAGCCTAGAGGCTATAAAGAAATAACAATCCATAGATTTTATGCAGTAGGAAAGAAAATAACTTATATGAACGCGCGCTAAATGGCAAGAAGGTGACAGGACTTAACAGCTCTTATAGTCCAGATGTAAACTATGTTGTGATAAAATAACAGATGTTGCGGTTTAAGATTTTAATTATCTTTAAATAAAAATAACATCTTAGAAATACTTTGAGTTGATATATAAGGTATGAGCTATTTTCTCCTCCAACTCACAGGCTGGTGTGACACGTCAATTAATATTTAACCTTCAACAGAGCCATCACATGCGCTTCTGGCGCCTTTTATCAGAGGAAAACAAGGAGCAAGACCTTCTTATCCGCTCGAGTGTAAATGTTGCACACTCTTTAAAGGATTGCACTTTTGTGTTTTTATCTGACCCGCCTAATGTAATCTTTTCTCGGCGATTCTAGGTTCAGTTTGCAACATGAACAACAAAACGCATGACACTCGTTGGAAAGGGGAGGTAGTGACGTCAGATTGCCCCCCTAGACGGAGCTTAACGAGAGCGAGGATGCACGGCCCGCGGGGGCGCGCACATGCGCACAGACTCGGTCTCGACTTAACAGGAGCGAGAGGGGCGCGTCAATATACACACCGCCGAGCCGAGCAGAGCAGCGCTTTGGGTATAGTAGAAGGTGCTGAAGAGTGAGAGTAATCTGGGGCAGGCGCAGAAACACTCCACACGCCTAGCTGAGGTTTTTGGCGGCGCGGATATATATTTATATATAGCCTATATATTTTTGTTTGGGAGGGGGTTGGCGATCTTTTAAAACCATGCTGGATTGACTTAGAGAAAGCAGCTGTAATCAATGGCGTGGCTTTGAAATCGTTGAAAAATTATTGGGAAAGGAGTGCGAGACAGAGCGACAGTGGGGAGAGGGAGAGAGCGGCGAGAGAGAGGGTTGGAAATAAAGATTCCTTTCAGCGATGGAGCTTACAATGGAGAACATCGGAAATCTGCACGGCGTGTCTCACTCTCATCAGACAAGCGACTTAATGAACTCCCCGCACGCGCGTCAGTCAACAGCGTCGCATCGGAACTTGGTGTCGCACGGGCGCTCAGCCATGGTGTCCAGCATGGCCTCGATACTGGAGGGAGCCGGGGACTACCGCACAGACCACGCTCTCTCCGGGCCCCTGCACCCGGCCATGACCATGTCCTGCGACTCAGGAATGAGCCTCAGCAGCACCTACACCACACTGACGCCGCTGCAGCACCTGCCCCCCATATCCACCGTATCGGAGAAATTTCACCATCCTCATCCTCATGCTCACCATCATCCGGCGCACCAGAGGCTCGCTGCTGGGAATGTCAGCGGCAGCTTCACCCTAATGAGAGATGACCGCAGCCTCGCCTCTATGAGTAACCTCTATGGCCACTACCCCAAAGACATGTCCGGAATGGGGCAGCCCCTGTCCCCGCTCTCTAATGGCCTTGGTTCTCTACACGGGTCGCAGCAGACCCTGAGCGCCTATGGTCCTGGAGCTCACCTGTCTAACGACAAGATGCTTTCGTCAGGGGGGTTCGAGTCCCACGCAGCCATGCTGTCCCGGGGCGAGGATCACCTGGCTCGAGGTCTCGGGGGCCACGGGGCCGGGCTCATGACATCCTTGAACGGCATCCACCATCACAGCCATCCTCACACTCAGGCAAACGGATCGATGCTGTCGGACCGGGACAGGCAGACGGTCGTAGGTGGAGGGCAGGGAGCCGGGTCGGGACAGGTGGAGGAGATAAACACCAAGGAAGTGGCGCAACGGATAACGGCGGAGCTCAAGCGCTACAGCATTCCGCAGGCTATCTTCGCGCAGAGGATCTTGTGCCGGTCCCAGGGAACTCTGTCCGACCTACTGCGGAACCCTAAACCGTGGAGTAAACTCAAATCCGGCCGAGAGACGTTCAGGAGGATGTGGAAGTGGCTGCAGGAGCCTGAGTTTCAGCGGATGTCAGCGCTCAGGCTTGCAGGTGAGTGAGGAGACAGCTACCAACCTGAGTGATGTGGAGGGATCAATCTGTAGTCAATGTGGCGAGACTGCCAATAGCTGCTCAAACAGACATTACTTGAAGTTATTAGTCGATCGTATCGAGTAAAACTTCATCATGACAGTTGGGGTGTTAAATGTGGTGGAGGATCTATATTTTGATTAATGCCACAATCCACGACTGTATAAACAAAAGCTGAGGGATAAACAAAGAAGCGGACATGTGCGACCGCAGTCTGCAGACTGGTTGGCTTTGGCGCTCCTGCAACACATTTAAGCACAGACGCAAACTGGGAAATAATATACTCACTTGTCTGTTTTTCTCTTTCATTACTGCATATTTAAAGTAAAACCTGACGAAAAGAGTAAAGCAAATAGCAATGAGAATTCCCTCCTGATTTTCAGCTTTTAATTGTCAAAAAAAAGTATTTAAACGAGCATTTCGTCCGCCCTTACCAACAAGGATGCAGTGTGAGGCCCGGCCAAAGAGCCAAAGGGAGCATGACCTCCTATGGATCAATATTTCAGGTCCAGGCATCCCTTTCATTGTAGCGCACTGATAAAGGATCGATTTGGACCTGAAAGGCAGGGACACAAACAGATGCGTCTTTCTTTGGCCCTGCACTGTGTCCCTTGTGTACTTTTGGGACATCACGTCTCCAAATTTGATTTAAAGGCCTGCACGGTCTCTCTGCAGCCTCAGAGAATATTATTTGTAGTTATTTTGTTAAACAATACCCCCCAACCCCCCACCACCCTTACGTCTACCAACGAACGTCCCTCCGTTTTGATTTCACTGCTTGATCAGTGGTTTCGATTTTTATTGCGCAAAGATTATCACATTAAGGCTGTGATTTGAAACCCTCACACCCCCGCCCTCACTTTAAACCCCCTTTAACACCTGATTAACGGGACATAAATGAAAAACGAAAAAGCCACAGCGATGTGAGTGAAAGGTCCCCCCCTTCTCATCGATGTTTGTGTAAAGACCCCTGTTTAGACGAGCTGCGCTTCCAAACGTCAATCAGCGCTTCTCCGCCGTATTTCAGCGAACAGTTCAATTAAGCGGATATAGTGGCATATTTTAGTTCCAGTCAATGCCCTATTGAAAAGCGCTTAATGGCATGTAAATTGTTCCTTTGCGTATTTAGTGGGGGTTCTGGTAAATAAAGATTTAAACACTCCACAATTGTCTCTTTAAGTGGCACTGCTGTTAAAGCTAATTGGGCTGTGGGGTTTTATATCTTCCACTGGCGGCATCAGGATAAAACCTCCAGTTGAACTGAAGCCTCAGAGCTGTACAAGTGCTTACCTACTGCATATTTCACGGTGGAAGGACTCAGGCCTTCTCAAGGTGGCAAAATCCAATGTTTCTGCTTTCCTGCGCTTCAGTATGGAAGGCAGGTTGTGCCACAACCCTATAGCTAAATAAAAAAGTAGCCCATATGATACATTTAAATAGAATATATTGTCTTATGTGAAAACCTCACGACAATCATGATTTCGTTTTATACATTTTTTATTTATTTATTTTATTATGCCATGTGAGACATGTAGAATGCATTGGCTGAAGGGGCATAAGGGAACATTATTCAGCCTATAAATATGCACCTCCCTGTTGCCCCCTCATACACACCAAGTATCTTTGCATTCATAAAGTGCATACATTTAGGGATGAAAGGTGCCATCATTTATTTAGAGGAGTTATAACCTGGTATTTTACATATAAAATCCCTCTTAAAATTTTTTTTTTTTTTCTATTAGGAGGAAAAACTCAAATAGAACTAATTTAGATCCTTTTGATGCAGACTTTTTTCAGCACAAGGGTATTTTTGAAAATTTGATTCGTGTTGTTATATGTTCATGTGGATTTAGCATTAGCAACATTAGCAGTTTTCTTTACCATTGTTTCCTGGTTTATTACACAATAAGTAAAAAGTTACACAAGAAGGACCAATGTCTGCAGGTCAGCCCCTGATTGTTGGAAATGCCTCTTTCGGTGGAATATGGGTGTGGTGATGGCAAGTCTGGATTATGTTACATCTCTTCCACAAATTACACGAATCAAGGAAGAAAATTGCGCTCTGTGTGGAGAGCGCACCCTTGTGGACTTTTCTGGTTTGAATAAAGAGCCCATGTATAAAAAAAACAACAACAACAAAAAAACCAAAACAAAACAACAACAACAACGAAACTAATAAAGAAAAAAATAATAAGTCAAACTCTGTATTAATCATTGGTTATAACTGAGGCCCAGCATTAACACACATTTTAAGATAAAAAAAATCAGATTTCTGAGTGATTATAATACACTTTACATTAGTAAGCTGTCAGTTTTGTCATTCACAGCTTTTTGAATGCCTATCACTTCCTGTAAACAAACTTAGTACAACAAATAGGAGTTACTGTATTTTAATTTCTTTTTTTTATTTTCAATGCTTGCTATAAAAAAAAGAAAGATGTAAAATATTTTGAAAAGCATTTTTGGTATGTAGGTAGCATAAAATATATTTCTTTTAAGGCTTTTGGATTTGGTAGATCAAGCCAAGACTATTAGTGTCTCCCATCTGGCTGCCTTTTAGAAAACCTTCTGGAAGTCTCCCTGTGTATGCCAATATGTGAATCAAACAATTATTTTGGCTTTGCAAAAGACTGTGATGTAGAACATATCTTATATATTATCTATATGTTTATTTTTAATTTTTATAGATTTAAATACTTAAAGGTTTGTTTTATATATAATCAAAAATCTTTGTGCTGGATCGTGGCACAGCTAAACCTACATTAAACAAAGCACATTCTTTAAGCTTAATGTATTCACAGGCCATGCTTGTAATCTAAGGCCATCCTTCAAACTTCTCTTCATATCTGCTGCATTGTTTAAGTATATACCTTAATGTGCATCCCCCTGCCACCAGAGCAGATCTCAGGGAGATTCCAGTTGGTCTAAATGACAAATGACTCTTATGCAAATATTGGGGGCTACATTTTACTTACTGCATTTAAATTCACGATTATCCTCCGAGCACATGTGGGCTGGGAGTGGGAGTTAGTGGGGATTGGAAGGGGGGGTTGTGTTGCTGAAAGTGAGGCTGGGCCATACTCGCTCGGCCACATCAATCAATAAATTGAAATTACTATTCCAAATTCATCACAGTCACACAAATCAATGCAGTTGCCCTGCTTAGCTAATGTGAAAACGCCAGTGTCTGCACAGACACACACACACCGACCCACACACTCAAATGACAATCCACTCCTGAAAGGAAAACAGAACAGAGATGTGGGCACTATTTGGGGGGCTTATGCTGTGTCCTTCACATTAAATCAACGAGGGAAGGGACGTGGAATGTTTTGCCTTACAGTTTTGAAAAGCACGGCTGTTTCCACAGCACTCTGAACATTAGAGAGTCTACTTTAAGTTTATAAACAAACAGCTTTATTGCAAAGCTGCAGGTGTACAACAGACTCAGGAAAAGGTGAGGTTTGGAAGGCATTTAAAGATCGCATTAGCGATGAAAACAATTCGTCTTTGCATCTGTGTTGAATTCCACACTCCATCTCAATGTATTTGGTCAGATCAATACACCCCTGATCAATAAGGATAGCCAGTGCATCTATCAATTATCCCGCCTCAGCACTCTCACCCATTGGTCTCTCCCCTGGAGCAGAGAGAAGCAGAGGGCGGTGGGAGCTGGAAAAGGTTGTGGGAGAGGGGACAGCTGTTATTTAAAAAAAAAGTGCACACCTTTTTTTTTTCTTTGTTCTAATCAGGTCATCTCTGTTGAGTGTAGTTCACACTCACATCACTTGTCAGGGCATCTGGGCAATATTTTTCCCTTCCACTTGTAAGTCAGATAAACACTTAAATGCTATATCAATCTGTCATACAGCATATCTCTATATTGCAAGTGAAGATATGTTATGGCATGTTGAGCTAACACTTCCTGGAAATAAACAAAAGAGCTCGGCGGAAAAAGAGCAGCATTAGATTCATTACCATCTGAATGACAACGGCACGTGCTAGTGTGTGCAGGTCAAGACCCTTAGGACACAGGACAAACATGGTGGAAAATTAGGGAAGGGTAGGCCTCTATTCATGTTTCAATGGACTGCAAGCAGTTTGCACAGGCTTAATACAAGAGCAATATTAATACTTCACTCACTCCATCAACCTACGCTATTCCTTTTCAGGGCTATGAACCATCATCATGCATGTCTAGTGTATGTGGCTGCATGGTAAGGATTTTTCTACTAAATGATATGGTAGTAATTTGAGACTAATTCAAGCCTAATCTTATTTTAAGGTTCTCATGTTGAAATATTCTAAGGAAACAGGAAAAATTATGAATTATAATTTTTAAATTTGTTACTGATATCTGAAACAAAGAGTCAAAAGATTAAAAACATATATTAATGATTAATTAACTATTATTGAAACATATCAGTTTATCAAATGAATGTCAAATAATGTAATTTCCGAGTTATACCTTAAAACCATAAGTAATGTTTCAGTATTAGATAATTTTGTGACTAATTTTCTCCATTTGCCATTGAATAAATCAAATGAACAAGTAAGGAAGAAAGTAACATGACTGAGCGAACTATGCATTTTTGTAGATTTTAGCTATATATTTTTTTTCCAATTTCCAATTGAGTATTTTCACAAATTCTTTTTGATTATGGAACTTTTAGCTCTCCATGGCTGAGGGTTTAATACAGCATCACGGTTTAATACAGTGAGTGCTGTCTATGGTGCTGAAATACAAAGCATAGTAAGCTGCGGCATTCAACTAATTAACTGTTAAATTTGGATTGAGTTCGTGTTTATTTGTTGAAGGTGTACTCTTTCAATGTTTTTATTCAACACATACTAAATTGATCAATCACAGAGTTTTTTTTAAGTTGCATCATGGCACTATTTTGGGCTCTCTCCAATGCAAGGGCGTTCATTGTAGCAAGTGCTGTCCGTGGTGCTGAAAT